GGTCACACGAGCTAACAACTGATACTGTGATATTTAGTGTATTTGTGGTTAATTACTTCATTGGTATTTATTAAACACTTAATTGTCCTTATTCTACATGCCAGAGAGAGAGAGAGACAGAGAGAGAGAGACTGACACAGAGAGACACAGAGAGAGACAGAGAGAGAGAGACTGACACAGAGAGACACAGAGAGAGACAGAGAGGGAGAGACTGACACAGAGAGACACAGAGAGAGACAGAGAGAGAGAGACTGACACAGAGAGACACAGAGAGAGACAGAGAGAGAGAGACTGACACAGAGAGACACAGAGAGAGACAGAGAGAGAGAGACTGACACAGAGAGACAGAGAGGGAGAGACTGACACAGAGAGACACAGAGAGAGACAGAGAGAGAGAGACTGACACAGAGAGACACAGAGAGAGACAGAGAGAGAGAGACTGACACAGAGAGACACAGAGAGAGACAGAGAGGGAGAGACTGACACAGAGAGACACAGAGAGAGACAGAGAGAGAGAGACTGACACAGAGACACAGAGAGAGACAGAGAGGGAGAGACTGACACAGAGAGACACAGAGAGAGACAGAGAGAGAGAGACTGACACAGAGAGACACAGAGAGAGACAGAGAGAGAGAGACTGACACAGAGAGACAGAGAGGGAGAGACTGACACAGAGAGACACAGAGAGAGACAGAGAGGGAGAGACTGACACAGAGAGACACAGAGAGAGACAGAGAGAGAGAGACTGACACAGAGAGACACAGAGAGAGACAGAGAGGGAGAGACTGACACAGAGAGACACAGAGAGAGACAGAGAGAGAGAGACTGACACAGAGAGACACAGAGAGAGACAGAGAGGGAGAGACTGACACAGAGAGACACAGAGAGAGAGACAGAGAGAGAGAGACTGACACAGAGAGACACAGAGAGAGACAGAGAGGGAGAGACTGACACAGAGAGACACAGAGACAGAGAGGGAGAGACTGACACAGAGAGACACAGAGAGAGACAGAGAGGGAGAGACTGACACAGAGAGAGAGACAGAGAGAGACAGAGAGGGAGAGACTGACACAGAGACACAGAGAGAGACAGAGAGGGAGAGACTGACACAGAGAGACAGAGAGGGAGAGACTGACACAGAGAGACACAGAGAGAGACAGAGAGAGAGAGACTGACACAGAGAGACACAGAGAGAGACAGAGAGAGAGAGACTGACACAGAGAGACACAGAGAGAGACAGAGAGGGAGAGACTGACACAGAGAGACACAGAGAGAGACAGAGAGGGAGAGACTGACACAGAGAGACACAGAGAGAGACAGAGAGAGAGAGACTGACACAGAGAGACACAGAGAGAGACAGAGAGAGAGAGACTGACACAGAGAGACACAGAGAGAGACAGAGAGGGAGAGACTGACACAGAGAGACACAGAGAGAGACAGAGAGAGAGAGACTGACACAGAGAGACACAGAGAGAGACAGAGAGAGAGAGACTGACACAGAGAGACACAGAGAGAGACAGAGAGAGAGAGACTGACACAGAGAGACAGAGAGGGAGAGACTGACACAGAGAGACACAGAGAGAGACAGAGAGAGAGAGACTGACACAGAGAGACACAGAGAGAGACAGAGAGAGAGAGACTGACACAGAGAGACACAGAGAGAGACAGAGAGGGAGAGACTGACACAGAGAGACACAGAGAGAGACAGAGAGGGAGAGACTGACACAGAGAGAGAGACAGAGAGAGACAGAGAGGGAGAGACTGACACAGAGACACAGAGAGAGACAGAGAGGGAGAGACTGACACAGAGAGACAGAGAGGGAGAGACTGACACAGAGAGACACAGAGAGAGACAGAGAGAGAGAGAGACTGACACAGAGAGACACAGAGAGAGACAGAGAGAGAGAGACTGACACAGAGAGACACAGAGAGAGACAGAGAGGGAGAGACTGACACAGAGAGACACAGAGAGAGACAGAGAGAGAGAGACTGACACAGAGAGACACAGAGAGAGACAGAGAGGGAGAGACTGACACAGAGAGACACAGAGAGAGACAGAGAGGGAGAGACTGACACAGAGAGAGAGACAGAGAGAGACAGAGAGAGAGAGACTGACACAGAGAGACACAGAGAGAGACAGAGAGGGAGAGACTGACACAGAGAGACACAGAGAGAGACAGAGAGGGAGAGACTGACACAGAGAGACACAGAGAGAGACAGAGAGGGAGAGACTGACACAGAGAGACACAGAGAGAGACAGAGAGGGAGAGACTGACACAGAGAGACACAGAGAGAGACAGAGAGGGAGAGACTGACACAGAGAGAGAGACAGAGAGGGAGACTGATAAACAGACAGAGGTGGAGACAGACATACACAGAGAGAGAGACTGACACACAGACAGACAGAGAGAGAAAGAGACAGACACAGAGATAGAGACACAGAGAGACAGACACGGACACACAGAGAGAGAGAGAGACAGACACAGAGACAGAGAGAGAGAGAGAGAAAGAGACAGAGATCGACACGGACACACAGAGAGAAAGACAGAGAGAGAGTGACAGACACACAGAGATAGACACGGACACACAGAGAGAGAGACCGACACTTTTCCATGTGGGTTACAGTTAGTTTTACTCTAATTAGCTCTTCATTAGCTGTTAATCCAAACTTTTACCCAGATATGTTTCCATTCCAAACCCAGTTTAAATCCACCCAGACTCGTCCTGGTCCTCGGCTCTGGGACCTCTGACCCGTCCAGATGTGACGCAGGGCCTCAGCTGTCTCACATCTGAAACGGGTCAATGTCGTATTAGCTAAACTTTTATTCTGGGTCCAGTCCTGACCTTCCCCCGAGTCTCAAACCCGGTCAGACCAGTGCGGACCCGGACTGGTTTTACATACTGTTGTTGCAGGCGTTATCATTATCTAAATAACAAAAGAAAAGCATCCTCTTGTATCAATAACTAGTCCCCGGAGTGAGGCCAGGATTAAGTGGTTTTCAGTTAAAAAGGTCTCCAGTGGCACCGAGGCCAAAGGGGCGGGGCCAGGGGGCTCTTAAATCCCTTTTTAATTGGTGTCCAGGGAGAAGGGGGCGGAGTCAGCTGGCTGTTAATTAAAGCAGGAAGTCCCCATTAGACCAGAGCAGGCGGGACTCGGGTTTACAGCCTGGACCTCAGGGACTCAGCGGATCTCTGCAGGGACTCGGACTGCAACAGTTTTTACGTCTCAGAGGGACTTATGAAAGCAGTTTATCTGTATAGCACAGTTCATACACGAGGGCAACGGGAGGAGAAAGAAACGGTCGACACGGCGATAAATCATGAAACATCAGTGAATTAGAAAGATACACATCTGTTTTTATCCTGGATTTTCACATCGTCAGAGAAGGAGCCTGTCTCACATTGTCAGGAAGACTGTTCCAGGTTTAGTGGCAAAAATCTAGAACACTGCTTCCATTTGTTTAGTTCTGAGTCTGGGATCAGCAGGAGACCAGTCCCTGAGAGACCAGAGAGAGACCAGAGAGAGACCAGAGAGAGAGACCAGAGGGTGAGACCAGAGGGTGAGACCAGAGAGAGACCAGAGAGAGACCAGAGAGAGACCAGAGAGAGACCAGAGAGACCAGAGAGAGACCAGAGAGAGACCAGAGAGAGACCAGAGAGAGACCAGAGAGAGACCAGAGAGAGACCAGAGAGAGACCAGAGAGAGACCAGAGAGAGACCAGAGAGAGACCAGAGAGAGACCAGAGAGAGAGAGACCAGAGAGAGAGAGACCAGAGAGAGAGAGACCAGAGAGAGAGAGACCAGAGAGAGAGAGACCAGAGAGAGAGACCAGAGAGAGACCAGAGAGAGACCAGAGAGAGACCAGAGAGAGACCAGAGAGAGACCAGAGAGAGAGAGACCAGAGAGAGAGAGACCAGAGAGAGAGAGACCAGAGAGAGAGAGACCAGAGAGAGAGACCAGAGAGAGACCAGAGAGAGACCAGAGAGAGACCAGAGAGAGAGAGACCAGAGAGAGAGAGACCAGAGAGAGAGAGACCAGAGAGAGAGAGACCAGAGAGAGAGAGACCAGAGAGAGAGAGACCAGAGAGAGAGAGACCAGAGAGAGAGAGACCAGAGAGAGAGAGACCAGAGAGAGAGAGACCAGAGAGGGAGAGACCAGAGAGGGAGAGACCAGAGAGGGAGAGACCAGAGAGGGAGAGACCAGAGGGAGAGACCAGAGGGAGAGACCAGAGGGAGAGACCAGAGGGAGAGCAGAGGGAGAGACCAGAGGGAGAGACCAGAGGGAGAGACCAGAGAGAGAGACCAGAGAGAGAGACCAGAGAGAGAGACCAGAGGGAGAGACCAGAGGGAGAGACCAGAGGGAGAGACCAGAGGGAGAGACCAGAGGGAGAGACCAGAGGGAGAGACCAGAGGGAGAGACCAGAGGGTGAGACCAGAGGGTGAGACCAGAGGGTGAGACCAGAGGGTGAGACCAGAGGGTGAGACCAGAGGGTGAGAGACACCAGAGAGAGAGAGAGACACCAGAGAGAGAGAGAGACACCAGAGAGAGAGAGAGAGACCAGAGACCGAGACCAGAGAGAGAGACCAGAGAGAGAGACCAGAGGGAGAGACCAGAGGGAGAGACCAGAGGGAGAGACCAGAGGGAGAGACCAGAGGGAGAGACCAGAGGGAGAGACCAGAGAGAGAGAGCTGTGGACTTGACACTTCTGTAGTTTTCCGCTGCCTTCCTCCACGCTGTGATGTCACATGAATCCAAACTATTATTTTTGGCAAATTCTCAAATTATAATCTTTGCTCCGTCTTGGATTTAAATATTATAAACACAAACGTTATTTCCACTGGTGCTGGATCATAGTGGACCAGGATCAGGACCAGGACCAGGACCGGAACCAGGACCGGGACCGGAACCAGGACCAGGACCGGGACCGGGACCAGGTTTGATTTTATAAGCCGGTTCTCAAGATCAGGTTCAAGGGTCATGACTCAGGCTCAGTGAGGATTCTACTGTAGATGATCCTCCTCCTCCCCATCCTCCTCTTTCTCCTCCCACTCCTCCTTCTTCCCCTTCTCCATCTCCTCATTCTCCTCCTGCTTCTCCTCCTTTATCTTCTCCCTCCTCCTCCGCTCCCCCTCCCCACCCTTCCTCCTCTTCCTCCTCCTTCTCCCTCTCACCTTCCTCATCCTGCCCCATCTCCTCATTCCCCTCCTGCTTCTACTCCTCTCCCTCCTCCTCCTCCTTTATCCCCCCCCCCCCTCAGACAGCAGGTATGCGTGTGTTCTCCAGACTCTTGCTGAATATCAATGAACCCGCGGCCGGTCCTCACACACGCTCAGGGGCCACGGAGGTCAGAGGCAGAGTCAATCATGGAGGTGTGTGTGTGTGTCTCTGTGTGTGTGAGTGTGTGTCTCTGTCTCTCTGTGTGTGTGTCTGTCTCTCTCTCCCTGTCTGTCTGTGTGTGTGTGTGTCTCTGTGTGTGTGTGTGTGTGTGTGTGTGTGTGAGTGTGTGTCTCTGTCTCTCTGTGTGTGTGTCTGTGTCTCTCTCTCCCTGTCTGTCTGTGTGTGTGTGTGTGTGTGTGTGTGTGTGTGTGTGTCTGTGTGTGAGTGTGTGTCTCTATGTGTCTTTGTCTCTCTGTGAGTGTGTCTGCATGTGTGTGTCTGTGTCTCTCTGTCCCTGTGTGTTTCTGTGTGTGAGTTTTTGTTTGTATTGGGTCTGTGTCTTTCTCTGTGTGTGTGTGTGTCTGCGTGTGTGTGTGAGTTTTTGTTTGTATTGTCTGTGTCTTTCTCTCTGTGTGTGTCTGTGTGTGTGTTTCCACCGTGTTCAGGGTCTTCGTATGGTAGTTTGGACTCGCACACAGGACTGGTGTATGTTGTGTATGTGGAGAAAACATAGAAAATCTAAAGAGATGTTTTTTTTCTCGTATTGACAGAGACAATGTTATGTTTTTATTCTTATTCCACAAATACTTTTAAATATGAACTGATGAAAACCTGAGCAGGACCTGCCAGTGGAGAGTGTGTGTCTCTCCACGGCTCTGTGTGTTAAAACTGGTGAAACACACACACACACACACACACACATACACGTTTTTGTTACCTGGTGGGTCCCTTTGACAGGGCCGTTCAGAATGGGACCCATAGACATAATCTTTTTTTACCAAGACTTTAACTAATACAAAACAGTCAATAGAAACCAAACAACTATTTTAAAGGAATTTTATTTTAGATTTTGTTTTCGAATTGCAGTGATTCTATTTTTGACATAGAATTTAATGCCACTCCATGTCCGATGTCTAAGGTCATCTGGTGAGGCATTAATGCAGGCCAGGCAGTGAGACTTCCCAGGGACCTTTCCAGTCTGTATGAAAGGTGTCATGGTCTTCTCCACAGCCTTCACCTCAGATGCAGACCATGGCTTTCTTACACGTTCTAGGGAGAGAAATAAAAATATATTAGCAATATACACTCCCAGGGTGAGGACCAAGCAGCCTGGCTGTAATCCCCCACCTGGTACACTTACCAGAAGGGGCACTGCCACTACCATGGGGTGCATCTGGATGAATGGTTGAAGGTTCTCCGCTTGAAGTTTCTTTTAGCCCGTCCGTTTGTGAGAGGATCTCTACTGCTCTCCCTGTCGCACAGAAAATAAAAATACAAGTGGCCTTTAGGGGAAAAAAATCATACATATTTTAATAATATCAAGAATTACCTTCAGGCTCAATTTGTATCTGGTCGAGGCTCTTTCCTTCGAATTCCGTCACTCTTCCCTGCTCCATGGCCATCAACACTTTGCTGATTTTGGCCAGCTCCAGTGTCCCCTCTGGTAGTCTGTAATATTGCCTGTGGATGCGAATGTCATGGCCGAGGAAGTTGGCAAGTATGTCCATCTCATTCTCTTTCATATTGAGAACTGTAGACATAGTAGCTATGTGCTTTCTAAGTTTGGTTGAGGATAGCATCTCTGGATGCACCGCACCACATTCTTTGGCTACCTGGCGTAGGGAGTCTGATCCCCTGATGTGGGTGTCTGCGCCCGGGCGGGAAAAGAAGTATGGGTTATGGTCAGAGATGGAACAGGCCCTTCTGTTCTCCACCAGCACCTCCATCGAAGCAATCATTTCAGGAGTCAAAAGAACCGGCACTTTCCGACTTCTTTTCCCTTTAATTTCAATGCGTTGAAAATGCTGACACAGCTTTTTCTCAAGTTGGGACAGTCCCAGAGCAATGTCAGAATGGATCCCAGTCTTACTTCTTAAGGTAAAGGCTGTCAGTGGCATCTTTGAAACCTCACCTTCCCTTCTTCGATTGAAAATGATGACCTCACAAAGAGTCAAAACTGCCAGTTTAGACCAATGCTTAGACGTTGGCTCACTTATTAGGGTTTGCACATATTCAGGTCGACATACCTCAATATGTGCATGCATGGCTCTAACGTCCTCAGTCAGAGGGAGCAGGTCCGGAGTGTTCCACTTGGCTTGCCGGAGGGTCTGTAGGGCAGCAGAAGAAACACAGACGTCCCACCTCTTCTCAAAAAGCAGCCGGCTTCGTTGGAGGTTTTTAATAAATAGTTCATCAACACAATGCTCCATTTTTGAGTCACATTCAAGAATATCTGCTAGCTTTCTGAGGCTATGGCCGAGTTTGAGGGCCAAGGATGGAGTCTTGTATTGATTTGTTTCCTCATCATATCCAGCCACAGACCTGACTGCATCAATCACATGGTTAAAGTTGGAAGGAATAAAGAAATCCTTAATTGTTTTCAGTTTCCCTGCGGTTTTTGCTTCGTTAATTAACCTACCGACTTCTCTCATTTTCTGCCTAATGTAATCATGCTTAGTCTTATCATGCCCGTGTTTTAAGTACAGGTGCTCTCCGAGTCTCAGAATCCCCTTTTATGCTTTGACAACACCCGTGACCTCATCCTGATGCATTGCCGAAATTAAAGACCACAGCTTTTTGCTGATGCCCTCCGGTACAGGCTGGGCTAGGGAGCAGAGGGACTGGACCCTACTTCTACCTGGTTTAGCCTGGGCATCTTTCTGTGAAAGCCGGCACCTGGCCACATGCCTCCACAGCGACTTTCGCTTAAGCAATGCCCCACAGTCTATACAGTGCAAAAACTCACTGGATTTAACTGGGGAATTTGGCTGTTTAGCTGGGACTAAAGTTCCAATGCCGGCCTTTAAAACCTCAAAATTGTGCTCACGGTTTCCACTATTCCTGATCAAATCAAACTGAAGTTTACGTGCTTTAGATTTCACAGGTAGAGCCAATGCTCTGGCTACGTCACTTTCATTTCCATGTTTTCTAGTCAAATGACGGGACATTTTGTGGCAGGACATTGAACAGTAGAGGCAGAAGTGTCTCTTGCTGTATACTCGCCCCCCATTTTTCTTCTTTTGCAGCTGCATGATAACAATCTTATTTGCCTTTGGTTCGTCACTTTCCGAGTCTTGAAGAAAAGTGTTTTTGATTTTTCTTTTTCCATACTTTTTTACAGGTTTCTTCTTGACAGTTAAATCGTCAGAATCTGAGTCGACTTCATCAATTAGGGACTCTTGACTAAGCTGCACAAACAACAAATAATTTGTAATCATTCTATATAACAATTTGAAGTCATGACTTGTAGTCAGCACTTACCAGTGGTTTGTAAGCGTGCGCTTCAGTGTGCTCCTCCATGATTTCTTGCAGCCTAATGAACCACACACTTTGCACCTTTTTCTAGCCTGACACCTGATTTCCTCTGTTGTGCTGCTCCATGATTGGCTCCAGCCTGCTGGACTGAAATTGCCCCAGTGTGCCCCTCCTTGATATCCCGCAACCCACCACCAGGGTTCCGACACATAACACACTTTTTTCAGGAAAGTAAACCTCCAGGGGTCCTTTCCATATTTTTACAGAGACTGCATAAGGACCGTTAGAAAAGCATTACCCATTGATTATTAAGCTTGGACCAGTGGGGTCCGGTGTTCGGGCCCCACCACGTAAAACCAGTCCCCATGACGTGAGTGGAATCTCAGGTTATGGAACCCACCAGGAGTTGAAAACAAGTGCACACACACACACACACACACACACACCGATGCATGCTAACAGGAGTGGGCCACATACGCATTTCTCTGCCTCCTCCTCTCGAGCCCCCTGTGCTGTCGTCTGTGCGTTCAATAAATTGATAAAAATAAGAATGTCTGTGTAACAAGGACCATTACTTTAGTCTTTTATCACTACCTGTTTCTTTGTTTTGAGAGCTGTCGACTTTACCCTAGCTTAGAGGTAACAAGGCTAATCAAAACAGCTAACGGCTAAAGTTAGCTCATCGTTTCAATTCAAGCCGCCTCCTTTTTTATTCTCATCCGATGTGTTGGTACAGAATGTTGTGTTATTGAGCAAAAATGGAGCACACTCTAAGTTTAAAGTCAGAAATATTTGATAGATTTTTGGCGGCGTCAGTGCCTCTGAGAGTGAAGTCTATTTGCTCGATGTGACGGAGTAAAAGTAAAAAGATAATATGCCACAGGTTTATTCAGATAAGTCTCTGTCTCTGGGCCTCAGGAACGAGGACTGGAACCTCACTTTTGTTCTGGTTAAGTTAGAGAGAGGTTGCAGTTAAAAAGATTGATCTGGTGTCATCAGGAAATATCAGCATAATTGTAGAAGCTAATCCCATGTCTCCTGATGACAAGAGAGAGTACATGTACAAGTTAAAAAGAACTGGGCCTAGAATCGAACCCTGGGGCACGCCACATGTTACGGACCTGAGAGGAGCAGGTCCCCAGACTTTCCATGAATCGTCTGTTTGGGGAATCATACTTGAATCTAAAACCTTTGAAAGAGCAGTCTCTGTGCTCCGAGTCTGAACCCTGAGGACCGAGTCTGAACCCTGAACCTGAGGACCGAGTCTGCACCCTGAGGACCAAGTCTGCACCCTGAGAGGACCGAGTCTGCACCCTGAGGACCGAGTCTGCACCCTGAGGACCGAGTCTGAACCCTGAGGACCGAGTCTGAACCCTGAGGACCGAGTCTGAACCCTGGGGGCCGAGTCTGAACCCTGAGGGCCGAGTCTGAACCCTGAGGGCCGAGTCTGAACCCTGAGGGCCGAGTCTGAACCCTGAGGGCCGAGTCTGAACCCTGAGGGCCGAGTCTGAACCCTGAGGGCCGAGTCTGAACCCTGAAGGCCGAGTCTGAACCCTGAGGGCCGAGTCTTCTGAACCCTGAGGACCGAGTCTTCTGAACCCTGAGGACCGAGTCTGAACTCTGAGGACCAATTCTTACAGGGTTTACTACTTGTAATTTGGACAAAAACAATTGCATTTCTTCAGAAGCTGTATTCGTGTATATCCAGAATTGCCTGCACCATGTGTATAAGTTTGTCTGGAACATGGTGTGGGGGAATGGGATCCAAAAACACATGTTCATAAATCAGTAGTACTTCCTTGGGTGAAGACAAACAGACGTGTTACACACAGTAGTTTTAGGAGTTGGCTGCATATAGGCTGATGTCGGGACCAGTGCAGTATATGGCCTTGTCAGGATTGTCCCCAGAAAATACATGAACCCAGCAAGAGTGTGTGTGCGTACCTGCCTGTGTATCTCTGTGTGTGTCTGTGTGTGTGTTTGCGTACCTGCCTGTGTATCTCTGTGTGTGTATGTGTGTTTGTGTGCGTGCCTGCCTGTGTATCTCTGTGTGTGTGTGTGTTTGTGTGTGTGTACTAGCCTGTGTATCTCTGTGTGTGTTTGTGTGTGCCTGCCTGTGTGTGTGTGTGTCTGTGTGTGTATCTATGTGTGTGTGTATCTCTGTGTGTGTGTGTGTGTGTGTACCTGCCTGTGTATCTCTGTGTATGTGTGTGTGTGTGTGTGCCTGACTGTGTATCTCTGTGTGTGTGTGTGTACCTGCCTGTGTATCTCTGTGCGTGTGTTTGTGTGTGTGTACCTGCCTGTGTATCTCTGTGCGTGTGTGGTTGTGTGTGCCTGCGTGTGTATCTCTGTGCGTGTGTGTGTGTGTGCCTGCCTGTGTATCTCTGTGCGTGTGTGTGTGTGTACCTGCCTGTGTATCTCTCTGCGTGTGTGTGTGTGTGTGGTTGTGTGTGCGGGGGGCCGGCAGCTGTCAGGGCTGGAGCAGCAGGCACTAATGAACCAGATGAATAGTGCAAAAACTCCCAAATACAAACAGGACAGTTGACATTTTTCATCTGTCAAAAGCAGAAGATGCATGAAAATACGAGCAGCTCCTGTTTAACCCTTTGGCTCCGGGAGTCCTCTGCAGCTGACGCACACAGACGCACACCGACGCACACCGACACACACACACACACACACACACACACACCTCTTTGTCCCCCTCTCTCTGAATGCACATTTCCATACGGGGCAGGGGAGTTCCACGCTGACTTTGTGGCCTTTGTTATAACTAAACAGCTCAAAGAATTGGATTTACATTTATTTTAATCAGTTTTAATCCAAGTTTAGTTTAATTTTTACAGTTTAGGAAAAATATTTGATGCAATTCTTTCTCAAAAATCACAATATCGCAAGTTTATTACAGAG